GGGGGGGATGGGGGAGTTTCACAGCTCTGAGTGTTTGCCTGCGAAAAATGTTCTGTGTGCTCTCACAAGGCCCAAAATGCCTTACACACCATGTATGTGACCAGAAGGGTCAACCCAGGTCTCATTATTATCACAGCTGCACAAAGCATGTTAGACTTGGTCAGAGACATTACCTGAAGGTTTGAAAGCGATCTTGTTCTTTTTGCCTTTAATGTTTTGACGCAGGAATGGATCCTTGAGCAGGTCCCCGCCCATTGCTCGTTTATTCGGGTCAGGCTCAAAGCATGCAAGAATGAAGGATTTGGCCTCTGACGAAAGAGACTCTGGGATCTCTGGATGGATCTTAAACATGCCCACCTGGTACAAAGAGAACAGAAACGAATGGAGGAGATGATTTTGATTAAAGGGTTCATATGATGTGATTTCAATTTTTCCTTTCTCTTTGGAGTGTTACAAGCTCTTGGCGCATAAAGAAAATCTGTAAAGTTGCAATGACTAAAGTCTCAAATCCAAAGAGATATTCTTTATAAAAGTTAAGAGTCAACCACGCCTACCTAAAACGGCTCGTTCTAACACACCTCCACATGTCTACGTCACGATGTGGAAAGATTTGCATAACGCTGCCCAAATCTTCACAAAAAGAAAAAAGGCGTAACTTTTATTCTCGCTGTAGTATTGTTGTTGCCGCCGCCACCATGTCCTGAAGACACTGTGTGTTTCGTTGTGAAAGCAAAACTACTTTGATTGGCCTTCCAAAAGAGGACACAACTAGAAATCAGTGGTTAAGTTGTATTTACAACACTGTTCCAGAACACTTCAACCCAAATATTCAGATGTGTGCAGTGCATTTTACGGAGGACGAGGACTGTTTCCTGTAGGGGTGCAACGGTTCAACTTACTCACGGTTCGGTTTGTGTCATGGTTTCGGTACGGTTCGGTATGTGCTATGTTTAGGGAAAAAACTATATTGTCGAATAAAGAAAATAAGAATAAATAATCTAACTACAAGCAACAGCACAAATAAATAAACAGTGAAAAAAGATACAAATAAAATAAACAGTGCTTTTCAGTTTTTTTAGGTAGGTCTAACATAGTTTTTAGGTACAGAAATCGAATAAATCAAATGTAAAACAACATTGCATATTTGACTGTATAAATTAAAGATTAATCCTTATTAAAGTTACAAAAGTTATTCAATCAAGAGCAGTGAGTGATTTCCGTGTTGTTGCTGTTTGATTAGCATTAAGAAAGTGCTGTCACTTTAAGAGAACGCACTGATTCAGTGCACTGATACTGTACGTTCAGCCGACTATGTCTGCTAGGATACTCACCAAGACGGGAATTTTGACATAATTTTTGAGTGAATTTGTCCATTCAAACACAATACTTCACAGAGAGCTTAAGAATTCAGAGCAAATGCATGAATCGGAAAATCAACAACACAAAAGCAAAACCATTAATGTCATGCAAACCTCAGAAACATCACAAAAACTAATTAAATAACAATTAAACAACTCTAATACCTGCTGAGAATCATTTCTGTCACTATATATATATATATATATATATATATATATATATATTTCATATAGTAGACTCAAATAAATAAATACACATATTTACTTTACTAATTTGTACTTTTTTTTAATCAAATCAAAGTCTGCGTTAACAGACTTTTTAATTTTTTTTACATTTTTAACAAAATATACCTTAAACATGGCAGCCTGTGGTTCTCCCAGCTCATGGAAAGGAGGTTTGCCTGTGGCCATCTCTATGATGGTGCAGCCCAGGGACCAGATATCAGCAGGTGCCCCGTAACCTCGAGGGCCTTTATCGATGATCTCAGGGGCCATATACTGTAACGTACCTGGACAGAGTTTTACAGGGGAAAAGCAGAACTTCCTTAGATAAGAATGTGCTGTGACATGATGTTACACAAAATAAATAAATCAAGGAGAGACGCTCAGGAGTGAAGTTGACAGTGAAATGCGAGGGGGAGGACAGATGAGCGCACCTGCTCTGATGCTTCAGCAGTCACTAATGAAACATAAACACACTCCTGTCTCAGATGCTATGCTAATCTAATTACTCACCGACAGGAGACATTCTCATGTTACCAGTGACCAGGACTCATGATCGCTTGCCTCACTGGAAGAAACGCCGTCTATTTTGTGTCAGAAAATAAAAGTTATCTAAGCCTTGGAAAGGTGAACCAGTCCACACCAGTGTATGGCCAATTTAGTCAATTTGCAAGGGTTTTTAAATATGGGCAAGGGTTTTTAATAATCTAAAAAATATATATTTTTAAATAAAAAAAAATTCTAGCACAAAAAAAAATCATTAAATTATTTAAAATTGAAAAATATTTTCAATAAAACCTGGTCTTTTGAACGGTCTATTCATAAAAAAATCCTAAAAAGAAATATATCACAGTTAAAAAAAAAAAAACATTAAGCAGCACAAATATTTTTCAACATTTATAATAATATGAATGTTTCATGAAAATGCAGCTTTGCCATAACAGCAATAACTTTTACAGTTTTTTACTGTATTTTTGATCAAATAAATGCAGCCTTGGTGACTCCTTTCAAAAACATTTAATAATAGCAGTGTAATTAGAATGTTTCTTAAAAAGTCAGCTTTGCCATCAGAGGAATACATTTCAATTTAAATATATTAAAATAGAAAACAGTTATAATAATAATAATAATTTACAATATTACAGTTCTTAGTGTATTTTTTTTTTTTTAAATTGCAGCCGTGAGACTTCTTTCAAGAACACTAAAAACTCTTACTAACCCCAGACTTTTGAAAAGTAGTGTGTATATATGTCAAATGATTTATTTGTAAATTAGTTCATCAAATAACTGTTAATTAATTTTTCATTTACTATATTTTTTAAAGATTAATCAATGTATTAATTATTTAAAAAAATTTACACAGTTTTTCTCTGAGCCTTTTTCCATGTTACTCTTTGTAAACCCCTTATATAGAGCATTAATACACACTTTATAAATGTATCCTGACAGCGTTTGGAGGTATACACACTAAAAGGGGAGGAATGAAACTCCCTTAGATCCTGTTTGGTGGGGTTAATGATAGACTGAACTTTAACTAAGCCTAAAATCCTGACCTGGCAAAGACCACCAGGATGTATGATGACACAGGTCAAATGGAACAGCGAGAGGGTCACACGGAGGGTGCATCTTGCAACTAACAAAAGACAATGAAAGTGAAACAAATACCAGTGAACGTCTCTGTGCAGGGATTGACTCCAGCCAGCCTCTTGGACGTGCCGAAGTCTGAGATTTTCAACACGCCACTGTAGGTGTTGACTAAGACATTGTCTCCCTGTGGAAAGGTGATCGGTCAATGAACATTCACATTTTTGAGGGCACCCAAATATAGATCCAAAAGATTTATCAGATACCTTGATGTCCCGATGAACAATCTGGTTCTCATGCAAATAACGAAGTCCTTCCAAGATCTGCCGAGTGTAGAAGATTATGGTGGCTTCTTTCAGAGGACCCCACTTTGAACGCAACAATGCTGACAGACTTCCTGTAGAGGAAATATGATGACTATGAAGAACAAATCAAATTTAAAGTAGAAAAGATGTTCTTGATATTGTTCTATTAGAAACTACACATGTACCTCCAGGGACCTGTTCCATGAAGATCTTGATATATCCGTCCTCTGACACCGAGCCCAGGTACTGAACAATGTTCCTGTGTTTCAGGTACTTGTGGAGGGCTATTTCCTCATGCAGTGGTTGGGAATACCTGAATGTGTCAGTGTTATTTTAGTATTATTTAAATACTATTATAGTATTTATCCATATTTCGAATTAGCTTTTATTTTTATATTTTCATTTTAGTTTTAGTTTAAGCTTTAGTCATTTTGTTATGTGCTTTTGTCATTTGTTCTAGTTTTTGGGTCTAGAAATGTATTTATATATATATATATATATATATATATATATATATATATATTCCCAAAATTATTGTTTTATTAAATTATATATTT